GAAAGAGATCAAAAGAGAGAGAGAGAGAATGAGAGAGAGAATAAGAAAACTTGTGCTACAACGTGTCTGTGTCACATAAATGAATATTCAAAAGTATGAGTCATTTTAACTTTATTTGCAGGCTTACATGCTACATAAAATTAAATGAAAAGTTTCATTCCATAGACACAGAGTACATCTTTTTATACAATGAGGATTCAAGAAAGAATGTTGTAATCTGTACCTTGAAGAAGCTCATAATTTTAATATCAAATATATGAGAAAAGATCATAAAAAATGGAAAATGACAACTTAGTTTATAAGGTTTAAGTCTTAGGACAGATATTTAGTATTAGCTGTATCAGAGTTTGAGAAGGTAGAGACTACGACCAGCTGAAGAAACTAGAAAATGCCACATGTAGTGTGGCATTAGAATCAAGACTTAAAAGATTTGTAACATTTCTACAGAAGATGCTGGAAGAGCATCACTGAAAGTAAGGAAGTGGCAGAAAAATTTGATTAAAGAAATTGTACAAGGCCAGCCCCAGCACACAGGTTGCACACTGTACATTGGGAGCCAGATCCTACATGGTAACCATGATTCAAATCCCAAACCCAGCAGTTTGAAAAACACACCGTGTGTGTGTGGGGGGGGGGGTATGCACACACATGTGCATGCATACCGCACGTCTAGATGGAATGAAGAAATGGAAGAGAAAGGATTACAGTACCCACTGGGATCTCTCTAACTCTCTTTCTCTCTAGTGAGCGTGCACATCTTCCAGCAATTTAAAAAGAAAAATACAGGGACGGCAAGTGGTGTGGTGGTTAAGGGCGTTGGACTCCCACATGGCCAACCACGTTTCAAGTCCTGGACCTGGCAGCTTACTTTCTCTCTCTCTGTCCTCCCCTCTCTGATCAAATTAAAATAAATGAATAAAAAAATAAAATAAAGTTAAATAGAATATTTTTTTAAAAAATAATAAGGGGCCAGAAAGTGGCATGGTGTTTAAGGGCACTGGACTCCCACATGGCTGACTACAGTTCGAATCTCGGACCTGGTGGCTTGCTTGCTCTCTCTCTCTCTCTCTCTCTCTCTCTTTCTTTCTCTCTCTCTCTCCATCTCTACCTCTCTGGTCAAAATTAAAATAAATAAGTAAAAAAATACAGTTAAATAAAATAATTCTTTAAAAAATAAATAAAAATACAAATTGTACAAACAGTGCATTCTCTGAAATTCCAAGAGCTCCTCTAAAACTACAAATTCTGCACCCCACTTAAAGATGTTCCAATTCATTAACTCCTTTATTTTCCCCAGGAAGTATTTATAGTCAATCAGATTTTGTAACCACTGACCTACAGGGGTATACAGAGGTAGAAATAAAAATGTCTATAAAGAGAAGTTAAAGTCCACCTCTGATGGGACAGCAAAAGAGCAATGCTCTACAATGCTGGAGGCTTTATGAAAGATTGGGGTTCCATTTCCAGATAGACCTGTACATGCCAGGTGTGTGTACCTGTGATCCTGGCTGCCAGCAACGGCTGAGAGTGGATCATGGTGTGAGACCATGGTAAGCATACTTATCTTTTTCTGTATGTGTGTATCTTTCTTTCTCACACGAAATAAATAGATAAACTTAAAAATAAAAAAGAGAAATGCGTTAAGATTAAGACCAAATTATAGAAGACATTGAAAATGAATCAATTGGTCTATAGTGGGATATGATGAACTTGTTCACCTACATTTATTAATTTATCACAGCACAACACTTTCCGGTTAAATCCTGTACAGTTGTAGTAAATCAGTCCATGAATTAGTAAACAAAAAAATGATAGTAGCATAAACTACTTGATAATGCCTAAGGTCACAAACCTATTTATTACTTGCCTAAAACTATGTTTGAAGTTCCTGATAGGTATCTTAATATTCTCGATGGAGGAGGCTGTGGGGGTTGGTTTCATTGTGGAGCAACTTTTATTGGAGAAATAATTTGTGAAAGGTGCCTTCTACACGCAAAATGTTATACTCACACTGTTGCCATGTTATTTATAAAACAGAGCCTACATTTCGGTGCAGTGGCAGATTTTGGCAGTTCTGTAGTTTCCTTTGATGTATGATTTATTGTGTCAACTAATCCTGAAAACATAGTCCACGATAAATAAATAGATAAACCGATACTTATCTAACAAGACTGTGCAGTAGGAAATCTAGGTTAGTCTGCTGAAAGTTTTGAGAAATGTAATAATTGTTTGCCAATTTTGAATACCTAAATCTGTTCCTTGCCAAAATTTCTAATTTCTAATTAATATCACAGGTATGATTTCTCCCTCTCTCTCTGTCTCTTTTGTCTGTCTCTCTCAGAATGGTATCTGCTAGTCTATTTAGATAATGAATACGCCAAGGAGGCCCAGAGTTAAGTCTAGGCTTCAGAACTAAGAACATTTCCATCAAAGATGGTTTGTTAATAATAAAGTAAGGAGAAAAAAAAAGCTATTTGCTTCTTTTGTGGCTCTGACCCTCCCTTGGTCCTGCCAGGCCTGCCTGAGCATCAGCAGAGTTCAGTGGTAATTAAAGCAACAGTGTTGTGAAAAAAGTGTGAATTACTTTTACAGGAAGACTTGGATGTTGCTACTGACTGACAAAGCACAGCAGGGGACTCGGCTGGATATTAAAGAGTGATGGTAGTTCCTGCATTGTAAGGTGGCTTTTCAGCACAATGCAAAATTGTGACTTTTCACAAGTTGGAACCATTCGAGTTATCAGCTTAAAATTTAGATTTTTTTCCCCCTTTGGCAAGCTTGTAGAGCAAAACTATGTCACATTTCATGAAATGTGGTATGGTGGTTGGAATTATGGAAAACTGAAGTATATTTTCTTTCTTTTATTTCCCCTGGATTTTGACTCTATCATGGAATTATTTCAACCTTGAAGATTGTTGAAAATAGTGAAGAAAAAGCTATAAAGGGATCATATGTTCAACTCTCTCTTGGCAAGTTATTTCAATGTCATCTATCTACACTTTCTGTTTCTGTCACTTTTAAATCGGAAAGAAGTACAGACCAGCACTCTGTTGACAATGCCAAGAAATGCCAACTCTGCACTCTCGACACCGGAGTGTAAATTTCCACATGGAGAGTGGGCTCCTTCACCAGACCCAGCCAGGAAAAGTTCTGATCTTGTTCTTTATCACTCCAAGTCTTGTGAAACCAAGTTCCACACAGATGTGATATAATGTTGATTCTGCTCCTTATCCAGTGAGGGAAAAAAAATGTCTTTGGCCAAACCCAATAAACTACCTTTATATGTGAAGCAAGAGAGTAAAATTGCTCAACAGGCTATTCATCACTTTTCATTTTATAAGCTAGCAGACACTACTGGTATTCCTGAATCAGATTCATAGTGCACATGTGGAATTCTTTGTAAGGCCATCACCACTAAGCTGGGGCAGTCAGTGTTGGTATGAGAAAAGGCAAGCTGGAATAGAAAGGCAGTAGGGAACATATATGGAAGTTATGACTGCATTCGTGGTAAATTGATGATGTAAATAAGGAATAACATGCCATATAATATGCAGATGCTCTTCATTGTTTATCATTTTCTTCCTTTAGTAAATGAGTTGAGACAATAAATGAAATTCTTGTTCGCCGGCTACATCAACAACTGTCACATGTGACAGCAGTGTGACACTTGGTGGTCAATGCACCCAGCAAAGCAGAAGGCAATGCAGTACTGTGAATCCGAGTCTGGACATTGGCACGCTATTGTCCTTAATTACTAACTGTGCAACACCAAGTTATTCATGTGTAAAAGGTTATAAAAAGCTTTCTTACCTTAATTTTGAAGATTAAGCAAATGAACATGTAAAAATTGTTTAACAAAATGCATTGCATTTATGAAGTGACTGATGAAATCTGTCATCATCATCATTATCAAACTAGGTGCCATTATGAAACAAGGTGATTTGGGGAGAATTCATTTTACTTTAGATACACTGATTCTGTATGATTTGTCAAGAAATGGGGTAATATTTTTAAAGTAGTATAAGGTTATAAAATGGCATTTAGGGGATAAGGGCTGTGACATGCCAAACAATAGATGGTTTAAATAGACAACAATGATATAAACAGCATAACGGGGGTGCTCCAAATGACATTCTTTCACCCTACTAGTGCAAAGTTTAATTAGTATGTAAATAGCATACTCGTTTACAATTGACATAATGCCACCTCTTTTCATGCCAAGCTGTCAGGGCCTATGAAACTGTAAAATTCCTGACATTAAACATTTGTTGTAAACTGATCCTTCCAAAAGTAACTTAACTAAAGCTGAAAAGGCAGGGAAGGTGATAATCACTTTTTTTAATGCCACTTTTTCTTTCTACTTTCAGAGAAAAGAACCCAGAATGCTTTTGGGGAGAGTTACCACATTATATTGGGCTGAGGGTACATTCTGTAAAAGAAAAAAAATACATGAACCACCAACCTCAGAGTGATGAAAAGCAAAACGGTAAGGAAAAAAATACCCTCAATTGACACAGCTATTTTCATCACATCAAATCAGCCATCTGTTCTTGACATAGTTTATTATCATTAGGAAGATTTTCTCAATTCAGACATGGTGATGAGAAAAGATGAAGAATTAACCAGATAAATAGCCAATTTGGAAAATTCAGGCTGAGACCCTTTTCCTCAATTTCTATTCCCTCCTTTCTCCCTGCTCCATCATCACACTCCAATTATTCCAAGAAAAGCTTCAATGACATGATTAGACATGTTTATGGTGTTGTTTTTCTCCCACTTGCATAGGCATAACAAACTAAACACACTAGGTATCAAATGACACAAAGGTGATCGACATTGTACAAAAAAATAATAATTTTCTATTGTTAAAAATGATTGCATAAACTTAGAATGACAGGTGGCTACAGTTAAGGTTGAAGAAATTAAATACTTTGAATTGAAGCATAAAAATGCTGATGTTTTCCTCCTGGAATTTATTCATTAGAAATCCATCAATTTACCTTTGGATAAGAGTGTTTAGAGAAGAAAATTTTCTTTGAAATCATCACAGAGTAATTCCAACAGCTCTGCATGAGATAATCTGGAAGGAAAAAGTAAATGTTGGAAACCAATAATAAAAAGAAAATATTTAAATCACATGCTTGATACCAACTTCACGAAGTTGGAAATTCACAAAAGTGAAGCTCATAAATTTAGATAAAAACAGCTAAAAGAAAACTCTTGACAAACGTCAACATATCTACTTAAAAAAATTAGTCAAGCTGGTGGTTTTATCTACATAATGAAAAAAAAATGTTTATTTCTCCCTCAAATAACCCACTAATTCATGTTAGGGTTTTAAGAATATAAGCCACAGATTTTGTATTACATTTAAAATGAAATATTTTTTAACTAAAAATTTAATAATGATAAGGGTAGTATCTATTGAAGTTAAGCCATGCAGACTCCTTTACAAGGCTTCTTTCATCTAAATAATCTGGCCATTTTATGTGGATATATCCTTACTCTGACAATATTTCTGTGATTGCCAATACCACGAGATCTGACTTCTTACTAATTGCCAAAAAAGTAACTTTACAAAATTCCTCATTCTTGATAATTTTTATCAGAGTCCTTACTGTTGCTAGACTTTTCTTCATTGCCATACATGTCTTGATCATTTCTATGTTACAGGATCTTGATTACCTTAGAACTTTCTAGGATGCTCTTGATTTTCATTGTTGTTCCAAAAAGCTAAATATGGACATATCAATGCATCACAATATCCACCAATTTGACAACTATCTATCAAGAACCTACAGGTGCCATGTTAGGTGCTGAGGATGTAGTAGTGAATCTAACACTCATGACTCATCCCATCATAGAGGGTGTTTCTAGACCAGAGGGCAACTAACTGAGGTCTTTGGGCCAAATCTGGCTGGTCACCTGATTTCGTAAATAGCTCTGTACTGGAAAACAACCATACCAATGCATTTTCATATCATTTATGGTTGCTCTTTGGCTACAATGACACAGTTAAGTAGTTCTAACAGAAGCCTTTTGTCTGCAAAGCCTTAAATATTTACTCTCTGGCTTTTTAAAAGAAAACGTTGGCTGACCCTGATAAACTCTAGATCTTCAACCAGATTTAACTAAAGTTTCAGCTCTTCATTCTTTGCCTTAGAGAGTATATTCTTGACTTTGTACTGTTTGATTACTTCTATAGAAATGACTCTAAAACTCTATTCACAGCCATGACCTCTCTTTTGAATGTCAATCACATATTCCTGGTAACAACAGTTGGCGTAATGGCTATGTCGCTGGACTTCCATTTGGTCGACTGCAGTTTGAGTCCCTGATCCAGTGGCTTAAACTCACACAGGGTGCATGTGTGTGCCTGCCCAATATCCCAAAAGGAGAATAGAGAAGGGATTGTGATGTGGCCATCCCCACTGAGGGGTGATTTCTTGCCTTCTGTCTCTGTCTTTCTGGTGAGGATATGCGCCCTATAGCATGGATATATCCTTACTCTGACAATATTTCTGTGATTGCCAATACCACGAGATCTGACTTCTTACTAATTGCCAAAAAAGTAACTTTACAAAATTCCTCATTCTTGATAATTTTTATCAGAGTCCTTACTGTTGCTAGACTTTTCTTCATTGCCATACATGTCTTGATCATTTCTATGTTACAGGATCTTGATTACCTTAGAACTTTCTAGGATGCTCTTGATTTTCATTGTTGTTCCAAAAAGCTAAATATGGACATATCAATGCATCACAATATCCACCAATTTGACAACTATCTATCAAGAACCTACAGGTGCCATGTTAGGTGCTGAGGATGTAGTAGTGAATCTAACACTCATGACTCATCCCATCATAGAGGGTGTTTCTAGACCAGAGGGCAACTAACTGAGGTCTTTGGGCCAAATCTGGCTGGTCACCTGATTTCGTAAATAGCTCTGTACTGGAAAACAACCATACCAATGCATTTTCATATCATTTATGGTTGCTCTTTGGCTACAATGACACAGTTAAGTAGTTCTAACAGAAGCCTTTTGTCTGCAAAGCCTTAAATATTTACTCTCTGGCTTTTTAAAAGAAAACGTTGGCTGACCCTGATAAACTCTAGATCTTCAACCAGATTTAACTAAAGTTTCAGCTCTTCATTCTTTGCCTTAGAGAGTATATTCTTGACTTTGTACTGTTTGATTACTTCTATAGAAATGACTCTAAAACTCTATTCACAGCCATGACCTCTCTTTTGAATGTCAATCACATATTCCTGGTAACAACAGTTGGCGTAATGGCTATGTCGCTGGACTTCCATTTGGTCGACTGCAGTTTGAGTCCCTGATCCAGTGGCTTAAACTCACACAGGGTGCATGTGTGTGCCTGCCCAATATCCCAAAAGGAGAATAGAGAAGGGATTGTGATGTGGCCATCCCCACTGAGGGGTGATTTCTTGCCTTCTGTCTCTGTCTTTCTGGTGAGGATATGCGCCCTATAGCAAAAATCTCTCAAAAAAAAAAAAATCACATATTTCTAACTGCCTGCTTAACATCCCCCATCCCAACACACACTTACATGTGTGTGTACATATGTGTAGGCATGTATTCAGCTAAATCACCATTATTTTAAGATAGCTAAGACTGAATTTTTCTTTCCCCGAACTAACTTTTTTACCACCAATCTCCCAACCACTGGACCTTGAGAATTTGGGAGTCTCTAATTTTCTTCTAATATCAAAAAGAAAGAAAAAAAAAATACATTTTTTTATGTGAATACTCAGGCTAATTTGCTGGAACTATAGCTCAGCTAATTTCTGTTTATTCTGATACTACCTGGGCCTCATCATTTGAATACTGTAATCATCAAGCAATCTCCCTAATGAGAGTCTCTAATGCCTGCAAAGATCTGTCAGTCAATCTCCCTAGACATTGTTTTGTCTATGTCATCCTAATCCTTGGTAGCCTCCCGTTATCAAAAGTAGCATTCTTAATCTGTGGCTAATACTCTCCTTTGTTGGGATACTACAAAGTGACTTCAAGAGGCCCATAATCCCCACTGAATACACCGAGAATTACTTGGGGACTGAATATTCACAGTGAGTCCCCTAAATAGCTGCATCACTATCTCGCCAGTGTACACAGGTGTTCTTCTGATAACTAAAATACAAATTTGTGTGTTACCAATCTCACTGTAACTTTTTCTTATTCTGTGTTTTCCCATATAACTGATTCTAAAAGTGCAACTGCTTTTCCTTTTTTCTTTATCTTGTATAAAAGAATCTTCACTGGAAGTTAAAAATCTTCTCTCTATTCAGGGACAGTCTATTCTTGATTTGAAATGAATCTAAATGGAAGGGTTAAAAATAAGTAAATGCAAGAATATCCTTTCTTCTCCTTTTCCCACTTCTTGGATGAAAACTATGGATTTGGAGGACTTTGTAAGGGTAAAGAGAGACTTTGGGAAAACAGAAGGTCACTGAGACCAAACTCCATTGTAACTTCAATGAAAGGAATTTGAGGGCTCCTGGGTGTTTCCAAGTGACTCGCTCTGCTGGTTAAAGAGGATGAACAGATCAGAATTTTGGACATAAACTCTTATGAATGATATACATTGGCATCTATAACGTCTCAGTCATATTTCTTAAAAACCTAAAAAAGTTGGTGACAAAGTGAACATAAATACAGATACACGACAGAGAAAGGAAATTACTAAAAAGTAAGTCCACATTCTTAGTCTTGCAGTTATCAGTATCTTTTAGTTTAGTCCTTGTGGTTGATTCCAGCTCTGACAACCACCATGTCCCTATGGACTATATGGTAAGTGATGATGGTTCCCCTGCCTCCTGGGATACATCACTGTATCTCTGGCATCTTGTGCAGTGCTATCAACCAGCAAGCAAAGAGAAACACAAAATTGTTTGTGTTGCCAATGTTCACTGGTTGAACAGAGTAACCTTAAAACTGCTTTTTGCTCACATGTTGACTTGTGAGTTACGGTGAACACTCAGGCTGATCTGCAGGAACTATAGCTCAGAACCTTTCTGGCATCACAGAACCTGTAGGAAAGTAGACTGATAAAATGGAACAAGATGTAGAGACAGGATTGTCCTCTATTAGCTCCATAACTTTGAGTCAATTAATTTCTCAGACATTCAAAACTCACTGTGGTAACTTAGAAAAATAACTGCTGCCTCATTTTAGTTACAATACATAGAAAAATTGAAATATGTAAAAGTTCAGCTGGTACCTGATATGTAATTGGCACCTAACAGGTTCCTAGAAAAGGGAAGGAAAATGGGGAATCTGAGACTAAAACAAGGCCTCTTATACATAGTCCATGTGGTTTAGTATAAATACAAATTATGGTTAGCCTGGTATTATATTCTGAGAATATCCATAGTAAGGCAGGTTGATCTGACCCACTCAAGGAGAATTATTGGGCCTGATTAACCAGGAATGAATGCTCATTTATGTAGTTCCTGTGACACATCCATAGCTTAGTAAGACTTTTACATATGTTCTTTCATAATCATGACTATTCTCTGATTTAAATGTTATTATTTTTCATGTTTATGGACCATAAGAACAATATGGCCAGAAGAGTTTCCAAACATTGCTTGTACCCACACTATTATTTCATTTATTTTTTAAAGGTTTATTCTTACTTTTGAGAGAGGGAGAAATGAGAGGCCCCCAACAGTGTCTTCATGCCGTGATCCACTCTCAGCCTCAGTCATCTAAGTTCCTGGGTGCATGCATGTGCATCCTTGGCAAGTGCAGGGGGATCTCAGAATGTGAATCCTGGACCTTCCTATGTGACCTCAGCATCACAGAGCATTGCATTACTGATGGATCACCACGCTTGGCTGGAGGGTTCAACTACCATTACGTGGCAGAGGGAGGACTCCAAACCAGTTCTAGGTGACTCTAGAGATTCTCTGTTCTTTCTAAATTACCAAGCCATTTCTCCTAAAGACTTTTTATGTCTGGTCAAGTCACTCTTACCAATATTCATGAAAACTGTGATCTAACTGGCTTGTGTATCAGTATCTTTTCCATTTACCAG